AAAACAATTTAAATAAATTTGAAAAGAACATGAACAAATCCAGACATAGTATATATATTTTATTAGATAACAAAAGCGAATTATCTCTGAGACAGACATACAGTTTATTGACATGTATTGACAGTTGTGCGCTTTATGAGTGTTATTTAAATATTGGTTTATGTCAGCACTCGTGGTATAGTGGTATCATGCATAGACTGAAGACTCTACTGATTATGAAGAAAATACGCGCGAGTTCGAACCCTTCATATGCCACTCGTTTTTGAGAGGATAAAAAATCGTAAGTTAAAAGTTTAAAGTTATAAAATAAGTTATCTTAAGTTAACGAAGTGGTCAGTGGATTCTTGAAAAATAATCTACTGTAAGAACAATAGACTGACGTCAGAGAAAAGGGTTAAAGTGTAAAAATTTGCTCGAATTTATTAAATAATAACTCAGATAATAAAGCTTTTATTTTATTTTATCTAAATTGAATTAAATAAAATATAGAAATATGATAAAATTATTAGCAATTATTTATATAAATAAAAATTGTTTGAATAAGATGATTTAATTACAATAATCTTTTGTTTATTTGTACAAGTATAGCAATTATTTTAACTGGTTGTTAATTGATTTCACAATTATCCTCTATAATCTTTTTGAGTTCATTTAATATCCCTTTGATCTTCAATATCTAATTTTGCTTAAAATTCATATTACATTATACACCTTAAAGTATAGTGAACAATACAACTACAATACTGGTATATCAGTAATGTACCAGTATTGCTGTTTTTTTTTTTAAAGTTACAATACTGGTACAAAATTTTTATACTAGTATAGTGAACAATACTGGTATACCAGTATTGCGATCACCAACTACAGGAGATCCTCTTAACTTTATCATTTAAAAGCTCTGGTTAACAGTTTTTACCTAAACGAAAACCCTTCAAAAATCCTGACACGCAAACTTTTGAATGAGGTGACAAGGAGACAAAATTTCATATTCAAGTGATAAAGAAATATTGCTTCTTATTTTTCATGATAATCTAAATTTCGCAATACTTCTTGCAATTTTCGACAATTTTATTTACAACCACTGGATCGATGTCGCTGCTGGTGGAGGTTTCCTTCCCGAGAGTATCACTAGCCCAATAGTCAGCAATTCTGTGTTGACATCAATTATCATTGCTATGGTCAAATTTATAAATTAACTGTTTACAAAACTTTGATTTTTTTTCGAAATATTAAGGATTTTTCTACCCCAGGAATAGATTATTTCAGCTGTATTTGGCAATCTTTTCAAAAATTTGGGTCCTCAGTGCTCTTTTACTTCGTACTTTATAGTTTTTTGTTCATTTTAACTTTTACGATTCGAGCGGCATTGGTGATTCTTTTGAAGAAGAATGCGCGTCTGGCGTACACAATTTTAATTCAAGTATCTATGATTAGTTTATTTGTTCGGTTAATATGATATTTTGTTAGCAATATTTTCTCAGTTACCAAATAATATAATTTTGATAAACAAAGGCAGTTTAATATTTTTTATTTCAAAAATCCATTTATTAAGTGCATGACAGAGGCTGGTGGCCATATGACAACTCCAAAATAAATGTTCTATGGTCTCTGGTTCTTCTTTGCTGAATTTGCATATATTATATAATATCTATAAAAGTTACAACATCGAAAAACTTTTGGAAATACATCAACTACAGGAAGCAGGATACAATGAGCATTGGAACACTGAAAGCTGAAGATAGAATAGCCGAAAAACCAAACGAGAAGGCAGATATATTAAACAACCAATTTGTATCTGTGTTTACCAACGGAATAAACATCAAATTCCAGATAAGGGTCCATCTCCATACAAACCAATGAACAACATTCAAGTAACAGAAAAAGGAGTGAAAAATGCATAGAACGCCTAAACGAAAGAAAGCCAGTGGTCCAGATAAAATAACCGATTACATTCCTCAAGGAAACAGCAGAGGCTATAACACCAATACTATCCTATGTATTCCAACAGTATTTAGATACTGGAGATATACAGAAAGACTGAAAAAATGCAAACATTGTTTCAATTTTCAAGAAAGGCGACAGATTTAAGCTTGCAAACTACCGACCAGTTACTCTAACAGCAGTCATATCAAAGATGCCAGAACACATCATAGTATCCCAGATAATGGACCACCTAGATGGACAGAATATTGTACATGACAACCAACAGGTCTTCCGTGCAGAGATATCATGTGAAAAGCCAGCTACTAGTAACAACAGATGACATAGCAAAACACCTAAACCAAGGAAAACAAGTAGATATGGGAATATAAATCTTCTCGAAAGCCTTTGATAAAGTTCCTCACACCAAATTGTCAAAAAAACTCCATTATTACGGAATCCAGGGTAACACACGTAGATAGAAAGATAGTTTCCTGAAAGACCGACAACAATAGGTTGTAGTAGACAACGCAACATCAGGTTTTCAACAGGAGACTGTGCTTGGACTCACACTTTTCTTGATTTACACCAACGACCTCTCTGATAGTGTAACATCAACTCTCAGACTGTTCACTAATGACTGTGTCATCTATAGACCCATAGAGTCTAATGAAGTACACATATTACTTCAAAAAGACCTTGACACACTAGAATAATGGTGTAACACATGGCAAATCGAGTTTAACGTCAGGAAATGTTCCATTATGTAGTTTACAACATCAACTAAGAAGAGACTGTACCAGTACACTTTGAAAGATGAGCCATTAGACATTGTACACCACCATCCGTACATAGGCGTTGAGCTCAGTGACACCCTAAAGTATCATCTGCACAATGACAATATCTGCAAGTAGGCTTCAAGTATATTGGGATTTTTGAAGCGGAACCTAAGACATTGTCCCCCAAAGGTAAAGGAAAGAGCATACCAAAGTCTAGTCCTGCCAAAAGTGGAGTATGCCTATTTGGAATCCACAACTTAACTCTCAGATTAAACAAATAGAACAGGTACAGCGGAATGCTGCCAGATTTGTAATGAACCATCCATACAACCAAGAGAAGCCAATCAGTGTAACATCAATGGTTCAAAACCTCAACTAGAACACACTGGAACAAGAAGAACCATGGCTGACTCACCCTCATGTATAAGGTAAACCACCAACTAATAGTACCAGCTATTGTAAAAAGAACGAGAAACAGCTACAGTTTGAAATTCTTGCCATACCACTGCAGAATCAACATATATCAACATTCATTTTCCCCTAGAACAGTTACCGTCTGGAACACTCTGTTAGAATCGGTTGGTCTCGCACAATCACTGGAGGCCTTCAAATCATCAAACCTGCAACACCCACCAAGGTGAACCAACTTCAACTAATGAGCTTGAACTTTTGTATAATGTACATACTTGTTGTATTTTTAATCACCGGAGCTACATTCTTTATTGGATTGTTTGAGCACATCACACTACTCACATGCACACCAGTCCTCGTTTCTAGATGTCCAGTGTGGATTTTGACGAGTAATCAAATTGAAATTAATGTTGAAGATTTCTATTTTTAATTCTTATCATTATAAAGTAATGTATTAGTTTTCAAAGTTCTTTTGATAATTCTATATTGGAACAAGCAATGATTTGTGCTTCTAGTATATTTCGTACATAAAGTGTTTAAATTTTCAAGGTAATACCAGTCATATTAAGGTGGTTTTCACATTTTCCTTTGCAGAAGAGGTTATATCCTTTATCATGTTCTTTCAACCTTTCTTTGATTCAAAGAAAATATTTATATTGAACGATGACAAACATTTGTATATACATATAGTCGGGATTATATATTTTGTTTTTATTTCATATTCATCATGTTCATATATAGTATCAGAGTTTTATTTTATCGAAACATTTGTCTATTGGTCCCAAATTTAAAAAAAAAAGATTTACAATATACATTTCTTTTTGTCATCTTTTTTTAACTTAAAAGTCAAATCACCAATGTAAATGTACTCATTACAATAACCAATTTATTGGTTTTTATTATTATTTTTTAAAAATTATTCCTAACTATCCTAACTATCCCAACTTTATCTATTTTATCTTAGATTTGTACGAAAAGATTAAAAAGTTTTTATTTTACACTCAGTCACACCATGTGTGTTTCTTATACGTGTATATACCAAATTGTATATTGGGTACTGTGGGTTCATGTATTTTCGTCGATACTAATTTTCGTGGATTGAGGACAACTGGCGTTTTCGTAGATATTTGATTTCATGCATACAAGCTAATAAAAAAATTGTAATTGGTTGAACATTGAAATTCGTGGTTCACCTGTACCCATAAAATCCACGAAAGCTGGTATCCAAAGAGTATTAATCATTATGAATCCACTGTATATAAATATTTATAAATACAAGTTTGCAACCCATATTAAGTGAAGGTAGAAAACAATATAGGCATATATTACTGGGTGAGGTTTAATAATGCATGTTGTGCTAATTCACAACTGGTCATCCCGGTGATGATGTAATTTGCTGTCAAATGTGAACATTGATGCTTCATATTTTGTATACTATTTATGTTACACAGGTGACCTTTGAATAAGAAAAATCAATACTATGGAAAGTTGAAATAATTGCATTATTGGCAATAATGTTTGTAAAAATAATATAAAAGCGTACAATCAACTAATGATAAAAATATAGCATTGTCTATTCCAGTTGTATGTACGTATTTGTGCTGTGCTATATTGATAAAAGAAATCAGAAATAGAATAAGCAGAAACCATTTAGATGCAGATTCAATACAAATAAGTTAGATAGCAAGCAAGTCATGTTTGGAGAATAGCACTTTTATTATAATTTTGAAGAAGAACAAATTATTAGAATACAACTAACACTAAATAAGTATAACACAGTCCAGTGGGTCATTGATTATTGTAGTTTATTTCAAATAATTTCAATAGTGTAATAGTTTTAGTCTTAAATACGTCTAAAACGTCGAAATATTTTTTTTTTTGTTAGTCGTTGTTTCAATATACTAAAATCCAACTAACGTCTTCTTATCATCATTATTGATGCTTTTAACGAACCGCCTCCAAAGTCACTCCAAACAATCCCCGTTTCTCTTGTCCCGTTGTATTTCCCATTAAGGTCGGAATGATAACAGTTACGATACCACCACGCCCCTCTTTAACTTTTAGCACAACTGTTGTTGTCTCTGTTTTTAGTATAAAAAGATTGACCATTATGATAACTTAAAGAGTCTCCTAAAATAAGATAAAATAATTGTATAAGAAAAATTATGCAAAAGTAAAAATATAAATAGACGCAACAGATAACTCTTATGAATTGTAAGCATTCAAGAGAATTAAACATCACATGCAGCGGTAACACTTGTTGTTTTTATTTCTAACATAACGTAACAAATCGTTTGAACTAGCAAGACGTTCTTTCTTTTGATCATTAATCCAAACTTTCTACTCAATGAATAAATAACCTTAGGTGTAATTGGCAAAACATTTCAGAATTTGTGACAACGCTTTTTAACTTCGTACTTTATTTGGTCTGTTTAATTGTTTTTAATCGAGTGCGACCGATGGGTCTTTCGAAATTATGAGTCTGATATCTTTGATGAGTTATTTAATAATTCATAAGATCTTGCTTCAGTGACGAAAATGAGGTGAATAAGTTCAAAAATCAAAACAGTCCGAGCGGTGAGAAATTTACTGAAAACAAAGACCTCACAGAAAATCCACTGTGGTGTTGAAATAAAAAATACGATGGAACTGATAAAAATGAGGCAAAAGACATTGTCCTAACTCAATGATAAGATTATGGAACTTATTAAAGAAGACTGAAAAAGTTTACCGATACGAGTTGGACATACAAATAGGAATCACAAACATTGAAAACTACACCAGAGAAATAAGTCATTTCAGAAATCAACTTTTTGAATCCTAAAACACACATACAGAAACACCAGTGTACAAGAACTATCACGTCAGGTGAATTTGAACACAGAACAAAAATGTGTAAGCCGGTCAAACATTTAAAAAGAAGATGTGATATGATTGTCAATGAGACAACTCTCCACAAGAGACCACCGTACGGCCTTCAACAATGAGCAAAGCCCATACCGCATAGTCAGCTATAAAAGGCCCCGAAATGACAGATGTAAAACAATTCAAACGAGAAAACTAACGGCCTAATTTAGGTACAAAATAATGAACGAAAAACAAATATGTTACACATCTATATCGCAATTAAAACAAATTGACAAAACTAAACATGCCATACATGAATATCCTTCACTGACTGACGTTCAAAGATTGATTATTTGAAATCGCAACTTTACGGAGAACCTAGCTAGGGTAAAGCACAATACTAAAATAAATGGTCAAAGTTCCATAACTCCCGTAAAAATTGTCAAATCAAATTGACGATATAGCACGGTCAAGATAATATGACGAAAAATAATCCTACAAAGTATAAAAGCTATCAAGCAAACAGTTTCTTAGTATTTATATTAAGGCGGACGGAAGGAAGGCCAGACGGAGACCATAACCACATCCCAAGCAGCGCGGCGCAAGGATGACCAAATTATTCATTTATGAAATCTGAAATGAAGGATATACGAGACATGAAACACTACCGGAAGATATTGATAATGCATGTACTGATGTGAAGAATGACATATTAAAGATAAAATTAAAATTTGTCAAAGTTTGAATTTTTTTAAACTACCGGGAATTTATTTTGAAAACCAACACGAGCTCGTAGAAAACATAGACAGCGAATCTAACTTATACGTTTCTGTTGATGCAAGTCAGAAATTTTCTAAACATACGTAGCATCCGTGTACTTGAGTAAATGAACAGTTTTAACAATCGAATCGCAAAGAATCGTGTTGCACCGTTGAAAGAAAAAACTTTACTGGTTGCACTTTGTAAATACAGCTGTTTTACAAACCATGCCTCTTTTGGAGAGATATATAATATTCATAGATATGTTTTTTGTTTACGTACTGATTCCCAGATATGATCTCTATATTTCATCTCACAGAGACATAACTTGGGAATGTTACCAGTATAAATACACAAGGATAGCGGCCAAATTGAATTCTGAGGAAGACCCAAAGTGAAGGAAGGGGTAGTATAGAATTTTAGTATAAGATTAAACTCTTAAATATCGGGGCATATAAATGTTGAAAATATGCCGCACAGCCCTATGTTTTGACCTTTGAAAAAAATAGTAGTGCATAGGAACTTTCCATTCTAGGATATAATTTTTTACGAAACTTTATAGTAAAAATGGCACAGTTTCAGTCGTAAAAGGAGTTCCTATGGGAAATTGCATTGTCTATATTTACAGAAGTGTAACCTACTGAAATTAGAATATATGGCAGTAGCAATCGGTTAGCAAAAGATATAATCGAAAACATAGGAATAAAAAGAGCAGTATTTTGAAACGATAGTCAAATCGTTCTACATTGGCTTTCCTCATTGAAACCGTTAATTACGTTTGTACAAAAATGCATGTCAGTGAATTCAAAGCAATCACAGGAACTAACGAATGGAAATATGTACCTAAAAATAAAGCTGACCTACAAACACGGGAAATTACTGCATCGAAATTTGAGGACTATCATTATGGATGCATGGGCCAGCGTTTACATAAAATTTTAACAGTGACTTCATATGTTTTAAAATAGAAAAAAAATTGTAAGAGATTGTCTTTCCTACAATTATGAATACATTTTAAAACATAAGAAGTCACTCTAAAAAGTGTATGTCTTCCTCCTGTCTCCTTGATTATCCCTACGACAGGAAACCCAAGAGCCAGCTATCAAATGAGGTTATTGAGTCAACGTGTGAGTTTATTGATAACAGAAGCACAACAGAAAGCATTGTGAAAGAACGAGAAAATATTTTTTAAATCACAGACATTAAAAACAATACTGAAGGAGATTGAAACTATTTTAAACAATCGCTCGCATACCTATATATCTTAAGATATAAGAGATGCTGAACCACTACAAACATTTAACCTTTTACACGGAATGATTACTTCGACGACGTAGGTGCACAAAAGAATACTTCCGGTTTATGTGAGGTCATTTCCGGTTGACCTATTTTAAATTCATTTATCGACCAATCAAATACAAAATACCTTATGGCTTTATCATGCACAACTATGAAGTTGGAGCACAGGTCAAAATCTACAACCTCGAGCTCGATTTCAAGGAATATATATTACTGGTAAATTATTTCTTAAAACATTACCAAATTATTTTATTGCTACACAGATTTGGTTTCAAAGTTTGGTTGCACCTGTATAAAATTTTTGAAACGGGATATCACATCATAATGGATACGGTGATCTTGTATATAGAGCTCGTAAATTAATATACGATCAATGAACACTTTTCGATCCTTAAAGTAAACTTCTTCGAAAGGTTGTCAATTTAACAATGTAATAAGATCTTTGAATATTGTTTTTATCAATACTAACATTGATTTTGTTATCAATAAATTAAAACATATATACATAAGTATTGCAATAAGTTATGAACACTTACGGTCCTTCATTCTATCGATACTTATATGTTGGTTATAAGGCTTTGTATTTCCCAGACTGTTTATGAAGTCTTTACACTAAACCCATTTGATGAGTATTGATTGATATCTTAGTCTTGGAATAATTAGTGTTTATTAGTTATAATTGGCTTTGAACTAACTTTCTGAAACTGCGTGTACTCTCAGATCGGTACCTTGTGTTTTCCGTCCTTTTGTTTGTCATTTTTGTGCTTTGTGGTTGTCGTTGGTTGCTGTCCGTCATATTTGATTTTCGTTGAATGTTTTGTACTAAAACTGAGACTGTTTTTTCTCGTTTGTAGTGTGCTACATTTTGTAATGTTTGGACATTTTCTAGCTTATTTTACTGTATGGTTTTTGCTCATTGCTGAAGGCGGAACTGTGGCCTATAATTGCTTACATCTACGTCATGTGGTCTCTATTGGATAGTTGTCGCATTGACAATTATACCACATCTTCTTATTTTTATAATACTTGTGAACATTTTTAAATATTTACCTGCGTTACCGGAGTATCCCGAAACTCTAAGGTTATATAAGTTTCCAGAGCCAACCGAAAATTGTGAATAGTTTGCTTGTCGTTGATTTCCATTCCAATCTTCTAGATAAACACTAAGTTCATGTGTCCCATCTTGCGTTATACGATGAATCTTCATATTCCCTAAGAAATAAAAGCAAAAATCATTTTCGAAGTGTAGGAGTGTCTACAATGCTTTGTTATAAAAAACTTCAAGCGAATATTTATACCTTTTTGTATATTGAAAGTCCTCGCTAATAAACCTTGCACAGACAGGTTGACATATTGCAAATCTTAGTCATTTATGAGGGCCGATCTATAACATTGGAGCATAGTATAGGCGTATGATACGGTGCTTTCGGTCCGGGATTTGTTTTTTGATCGGTAATTTAGCTTTTTGTCCGACATTTTTGCTTTTTGTCCGTTACTTTCGGTCCGTTTTGCTTTTTGTCCGATAATTTTGCTTTTTGTCCGACACTTTTGCTTTTTGTCCGTTGCTTTCGGTCCGTCTTGCTTTTTGGCCGATTATTTTGCTTGAAGTCCGACACTTTTGCTTTTTGTCCGTTGTTTTCGGCCCGTTTCCTTTTTGTCTGACACTTTTGCTTTTTGTCCGATTTGCTGTTCGTCCGATGATTCTGCTTTATGTCTATTTCAAAACATGCATATTTCTTGTAGGTTCCACTTGAACTTCGAAACTCCATGACATCTTTGAAATTAAATACAAAGCTTTCTCTCAATAAATGAGTGGTACATTGAGTATCTATTTTATATACTAATCTGATCAATATGTTCCGAATTTACCCCTGGTAAAGCCAAACGTGCTTTAATCAACCGTACGCTTTGGTTAAAAATAATTCATCATAAATATTTAGACGATCGTTGTAATGAACACTGCAATTCCTCTATCTTTATATTTGAAATAAGAAAGCCACAGAAAGCGAAACATGGGGATTCAAATCCAGCGTCACTATCTTTCGTTGTAGTTTTTTCTCGTCTGCGTCGAAAGTAGTGGAAAGCTAGACTAAGGAATTGCTTTTCGGGGTTACGGTAGTTCTGCTTAAGTTAGTTTGATAGGAACTACTTGTGATAGATGATTTTTATTTGGTATAAAGTTGCATTACTATCAGTACATATCAGTTTGACGACTATTTTGAGGCCTTGCTTCCTCGGTCATGGTCCAGCCACTTTCAATCGATAAGCAATTTTTAATGTTAAGTGTTGGTATTTTCTATAAAGTTACATTAATATCAGTCCATATCAGTTTGACGACTATTTTGAGGCCCTGGACCCAAGGTCATATTACGGTTATTTTGAATTAATTTGCAATTTTCAATGTTTAGGTTTTTTCTTAAGTTAGATTGATAAGAACTACTTACATTACACAAGGATATTTTCTATAAAGTTACATTAATGTCTGTAAAACTCAGTTTGTCGACCATTTTCAGGCCTTGCCCACTAGATCATGGTCCACCGACTGAATTAGTACGCAATGTTGCTGTCCATCAGATTGTCTTTTTCTGAATTTTATATGTCAGTCAACAGTTTATTTTAAAATCATATGGAGAGAAGATCTGAATGATTCAAATTTTGTATACTAATGCCTTATATACATTGTATGTTTAAATAACATCATTTTCCATTGTGCTTGATTTCATTTTCGAGGTTTCGTTCGTGTATAGGCTGATTGTAGGGTGTACATGTCCGACCGGTAGGTTTCAACGGACCGTGATTCATTGGTCAATGTTATGTTTTAATGGTTCGCTTTTTTTTGTCTGATATTTTTTCAGCAATGGGTCAACTGCAATTAGCGTATGCAATGTTTGTTATTTCTACTCGAATATTGAACGGGGTTCATCTATCCTTGACCTCATTTTCATGTTTCATTGGTCAATTCTTATTTTTCATGTGAAATGATTGTAAAGAGTACATGCTAGTCGCAAATGGTTCGACTGAAATTTACTTCATTTTTTATGGTTTACTTTTTTTTCTTAATAAGTTAGGATGTTCGTATCTCAGATACTAAATACAATGGGTGGACAATGTTCGTTGTATTGGATGACTGCATGTAATATGCAGATGTCGGATCGGCAATATAAATTGACATTGCACTTACATCCGTCATTATTCGATCAATCTTGAATTCTCATTAAGGTAGGTTTCTCCGAAAATATAAGACATAGGCTAGATTTGATTGACATATCCGACAAGATGTGTCAATCCGACCTTGAGCTCAGTTTCATAGTTAAGTGGTCTAGATTTTGTGGTAAATCTGTTTCTCTGATAATAAAAACATTTATAAACGATAGAATACAGACTTATAACTGTATTCTACGAACTCGCGTTTTCCCCACAAAAGACTCACCAGTGACGCTCGATTCAAAATAATTCAAATATAAAACTAGAAATAATTGTTAAGATTGCCAATGAGAAAACTCTCTACAGGGACCAAAAGGAACTTCATGACACTATACGGAATTCAACGCGGAGCAAATGTCTACATCTTTTAGACTATTCAAAACGAGAAAATCAACGGCATGATTACCTTTCCAAGTGGTAAATGTCTGACTTGTAGTGTTTATTTGACCTTGACCTAATTTTAATATTGTTTAGTTTTAGAGGTAAGGTCAGTTTTTCAGATATATTATTACTTATCGGTCAAGTTTGTTAGTTGACTGATTTACTTTTAAGACTATTTTGTCGAAATTGATGCTAATTTAAACATTTCTGCTTAAAAACTTCGTTTTCTCATTTTTCCTTGTCTATCTAAAAGCTTGATATATTAAATATGGTTTTATCTTTAGAAGATGCAGAGCATCGTTGAATTTCGTTCAGATTAAGGGATTTTTGCCAAAGTTAAAGGGCTTGAAATAGATAGTCAAGGCCTTAATTAATTGATTGAGTTGTTTTAGTTGGTTACTGATGGGATTTGAATTTCGTTCTAGTTAAGTGATTTTTTACTTAGTTATGGCCCTTCAAAAATGGAACTTTGAAGATATGGAGATACAAGTACTGTAATTGAAGATTTGCATGCCTAATCTAACGATATCATTGTTGCATATTTTAGAAATGCCATTATCGTTTAATATTTGTCATTCCGTGGCTTAAACGAGCTTTTTATGCGGTACGGGGTTTACACACTGTTAAAAGCCAAGCGATAACCAGTTTGTAATGATCACAATTTTGATCCTTTGTCTATACTGGATATTCATCTCATACAAAAATGTATCACAGCCTTAAAATCAATCCATTGGCCTGGCGGGACATTTATGGTGTCTTCTGATTCGTTTTTAGTAAATTTAGAAGTAAAACACTCAGCTATACGGTATTTGCATGTATACATTTGAATACAAAACATAATAAGAAATTGAAAATTCTGAAAAAGTTAAAAGAAAAATACATCTTCCAGATGTGTAAAAACACAGTAAATGCATTAGAAAAGTGTCTCGTGTACCACTTTCAGAAGTGTATTACATTAAAGTCAAAACGTATAGTCAAACTGGTAAGAAAGAATAGTGAAAATTATATGACATTAATAAGTATACGTTTCTCGTTTTTTATATAGATTAGACCGTTGGTTTTCCCGTTTGAATGGTTTTACACTAGTAATTTTTTGGGGCCCTTTATAGCTTGCTATTCGGTGTGAGCCAAGGCTCCGTGTTGAAGACCGTACTGTGACCTATAATGGTTTACTTTTATAAATTTTGACTTGGATGGAGAGTTGTCTCATTGGCACTCATACCACATCTTCTTATATCTATTAACATACAAATCCCTCTCATTGTTTTAAATGTTATACAATTTGGAATGAATTGTACAAGTAATCAAGAGGAGATCGAAGTTGATTTTATTTTAATGACCAGATTAATATTTTAGCTACAAATTTATTCATTTAAACCTACCGGTATTATTCTTCGCGTAAAGCTGCATAAAAGAACATTAATTTGGTTAGCTTACATGTTTTACCGTGCACATGATTCTAAGTCTTAACAAGTATTAGAGTCCTTATTGCATACCGGAAGGTGTAATCTACAAGTTAGTAAAAATTAGAGTTTCCCTCTCTTATCTTCTTATGACAAGGGGTTTTAAAAAAAATATGATAACCTCTACAAAAATCTATATAAAAAACAAATTCGTACAAAATTACTATTAATTTTTTGTAGACATCATTCAATAGCAACGTAAAATATTTTTGAAATAAACCATGTTAAAATTTATATAAAAAGCCTGGCAAAAGGGAAAAACTACTAGGCTGTACCAACTGGTTTGCTGCCTTAACTAAGGGATAATAACTTACGAATGACATTGCTCAATGCAAGTTTGGATATTAATTAAATGAAAATAACGATTTCAAACTCTATTTACAAAACTAACGTACAGATGTAAGATAATTGCCTCAAAACAAACCTTCGATAACATGGCGTATTCTTAGAGGTAACAAATAACTTATATTCCATCCTGATGGGTTAAATGCACATAACATTTTGATACAGTTTATTTTATCATTATCTTGAAACAGTATTTTATATTTATTTTCAATTCTTCGCTGTATAACAATATCTAAATATTAAGTACCTAGTTAAAAGTATCCAATATCAACGTATATGGACCTACGTTGGAAAAATAAAACAACATCAGATTTGTCGGTAGAATAATCATGGAATTATAATGGGCATATGCATGACTAAGTATTTGAATGAGATGATATAATGATAACATATATATATATAAGGTACATACTCTTGAATGGTAAAAGTAAAAATCGAACTTGACCAATGTTTTATATCCCAAGACATTGCTTTCAAACGTGAAACCGTTTAGTCAAAAGGTATATAAATGCCAACCTTAAATCAAAGAAATACATTTTTAAAGATATCTAAGGGCATGACTCTTAAACGGTCAAATTCAAGAAAGAATTTGACATGTATGTTATAGTCCAAGACATTGTCTAACTTTTTAAATTCGAAAAGATGTCGTCATGCGATACCTTACACATAAAATTTAGAAACAATAGAAAATACAATTTTAAAGATTATTTTGAGGCATTTCTCTTGAATAGAAGCCGTCAAAATCAAATTTGACCTGTATTTTATGATCAAAATTTCAAATTAAAAAAGATTTGGTCAAGCGATTTTTATACTCATCTGAAAATCCTTCTACTGTGCCTCTTCGAGCCGTGTATAATTAAGCCTTTGATCGAATGAAAACTCTCAGGACTTTAAATTCGGTACCTACATATTTTTCGATTTTACTTTCAAGTGTTAAACAACAAAATAGTTAGACATATACGATATCAAAAGTACTTGTATTTATAAATAAAACTGAATTATAAAAACAATATATAAAAAGCTTGAGATCTTGATTATAAACTTATATAGTCTAATTTAGTCTAGTCTATCCTTTTCTAGTCTATAATATTCTAGTATAGTCTTGTCTTGTCTATTATATTCTAGACAGTCTATTTTGATCTATTATATTTTTCTTTTCTAGTCGATTATAGTCTAATCTAGTCTATTCATTCTAGTCTAGTCTTTTTCTTCTTATCTATTTCTTGGTGTCTTGATTATAGACATAATGCATCCCTTTTTAAACAAGATTCCTGTATAATTGATAAACTAGTCAAGGCACTGGCTACGATTACCCAAAAAGTAACAATAAGTAATAATAGCACCTGTCGGATCCATTTATACAGAGATATATATGCACGTCTATACCACATACTAAACTGTTCCACTCTGTTATATCCCTCTTCAGCCATATCTTTTTTTTCAAGAACTTCTTCTATATAACTGCACAAAATTTGCATCTTGAAACCGTTGGAGTTTCTCATTTAAATCTTGAAAAGTTATATTAACTATTCAATGGCCTCAAATATGACACCTTGCTCATTCCGAATCCATACTTAAGAATAATGAGCTATTTTAATCTACCCCCTATGGAAAAAGCGAACGTCGTATTGGTCAATAAAACTGGAAGTTTCATCATGCAATTGTTTACGTGAATTTATTTCAGATGGTTCTCAAATCAAACATTTTTTAGATCAGTGCCTGTCTGAATATATTTTGCGGGTAACAATAACTGCAGGTAGCAATAAAAAATATATTATTGTTACCTACAATTTCCGTATGAAATCGGGTCCCTGTCTGGAAATGCTTTAGGCAATTAATCACCGAAGTAACAATGATCATTTCTCATTGCTACTTGTGGCCGGTAATCGTAGCCAGTGCCTTTATAAAAATGGGAAGGGCTGTTTGCGATAGAGAATAACTCATTTGTAGAAAACAAGTGCACACAATCGATATTAAGATTAGAATATTAAGATAAAGAAAATAAGCTGTCTCGTCTCACGTATTACTCAATAACATACATTCACTCTATTTCTTTGCTCATTCGGTACACTCAATTGTACGGTCGAGTCTAACATACATTTTATACGACCGCAATTTTTGCGTTAGAATTATGGCATGGCGATGTCTGCATCGTCATTGTCGTTCGACGACATTTTGGTTTCCAGACAATAACTTGAGTATAAGTGAATGAATCTTTATGAAATTTTACCACAAGGTTCCATACATCAAAAGAAAGGTTGACAAAAATGAAGGAATGAACCATAAAAATAAGAAGATGTTGTTTAATTGCCAATGAGGCAACTTTCCACAAGAGACAAAATGGCGTTGACGTTAGCAACCATGGCTAGGTTATTGTACGTATAAAAGGCCAAAAATAACAAGTGTAACACAATTCAAAACGAATTTAATAGACAGACAAAAGACAACGATTGAATTGCAGGATCCCAACTTTTGACAGGCATATATAATACTAGTATGCATCGGGGTTAAACATATTTTCTGGCATCAAACCCTCCCCCTTACCTTTAACATTGGTGTAACGCTTCACAATTTTTTTTTAATTTCAGGGCCTGGGTGGCCGTGTGATCCAAGTAGTTCATCTACAGTAATCACTAAGGAGTCAATACTGAGGTTGTAAGTTCATGCTAATGTGCTCGACTGTAATAATTATTTACTAGGGTTGCCAGTTTTGCTGCAGAAGATCGATGGTTCTATCACTATATCACGTATTCACATTTTCAAATCGGACATAACGCGAAAATCGAAAAAAAGCAGAACGGACCGAATGCAACGGACAAAAAGCAAAAGTGTCGGACCAAAAGCAAAATAATCGGACAAAAAGCAAAAGTGTCGGACGAAAAGCAAAATTATTGGACAAAAACAAAACGGACCGAAAGCAACGGACAAAAAGTAAAAGTGTCGGACAAAAAGCACAATTATCGGACAAAAAGCAAAACCGGACAAAAAGCAAATGTCGGACAAAAAGCACCGTATCAGACGTATAAACCAGTATTTCTAAATACAAAGTCCAGAAAACTGGTGTTCAGCATCAGCATTGTATGGATTCAGTGTATATGAAAAAAAACCTTAAAGTTGTAACAACGATAATCATATCATATACTGCAAGTTTGATCCGTCTGCGAATTTTTTAATGTCGTGGATATCTAACATTTTCTTAGCTTTAAGATTGCCAACAAATTATAGGGTCCTTTTTCACGTCTTCAAGTTAATTCATTGAATATACAATTTTCTAAGATAAAGAAGGAATTTTGGATTAATGTAACAGTAAAAATTCTAAATGCCTTAATCCATAAAAAAATAGACCAGGAGGTAAACACTAATTACATGTGGCTGATTAGAAAAGTACATGTTTGCTTATTTTAAAGGATGATGATGATGGGAGTTTTTAATGACCTTGACCGGCTATACAGCCCTCGCACGGTCGGGATAGGATAACAACAAAAAGATAAACTTTAATATCTTGAATGGTTTATGTCACAAAGTCGGCTTTAAATTTTGTTTAAAACAAAACTTATGTGCTTTACCTAACCAATGTTCTTTATCTACTCTCACAAAGCCTTGTGTGTATTCCGACAACGCTCTGTAGAAGTTTACGGTGCCATCGTATCGTCTCTGTATAACCTTAAAAAAAGAACAGAGGTGTCGAATGGAACGAGGTTTGTATTTATAATAAAACTACATGTCACCTTATTCACTAATAAACAAATCTACTTTAATCTGTATTTCTGTCAGTCTTGGCTTGTTTTAGGCATACTTTTGTTGTTAGAACGTATAGGATTATGAAGGAATGCAATTCCTTTTCTGAAATCAATGTTCAATGTTATTCAGGTAAACATCAAGCACATGCATTATATCTGCTGGTGAACTGTTAGTCCCCGAGGATATTACCAGCCAAGTAGCCAGTATTTCGGTATTGTGTAATTAAAATTTGATGTAACAAAATTTTGAAAATTTTTTTGAATCAAGGAATATATCTCCCTCATGCAAAGCTCTGATTCCATGCCCGGCTTTGGCTATACTTTTTGTCCATTTAGATTTATAAATTCTTTATTTTTAATAGAAAAAAACTAGTACTGTTAATGTTATTATGTCTGGTCAAGAGACTTATAAAATAAATAACAAGTAGAAAATACTTACAGTCCATTTCTTGTTATCGCGCATGATACAATATACGTAAGTTCTTCTTGTGTTTCCTCCGGGATACACAGGATAAACACCATCAACTATAAGATTTAGATCTTCACATTCAGATGGCCGTTCTAAAAGCAGTACGTCCATAAACAGAACATTGATAGAATATACCAACAATAGATCTTCACATTCAGATACCGTTCTAAAAGCAGAACCTTCACAAACAGAACATTGACAGAATCTATATCAACAAGAGATCAGTGTTTATCTTACATTTGAATCTATTGAGAATATAGATTTTTATTTGGAAAGATTTAATGGCAAAGTCTAAATTTATTGACATGTGTAACGTATCTAGAAGGAATTGAACCCATACACATTATCCATACTGAGATTAATACAGTTTGTGTACCTATTTAGATAGGACATTAAATAAACACTGCTTAAGTCAAGTTTTAGCTTTTCAAAACCTGTTTCTTCAGAATTTTCAAATGCATACAAATGACAACCTATAAATTTCGTGCAACTGAAGCATTTTTTGGATTGACCTTCGCAAGGAACACTCAAAATCCCCCCAAAGAAAATCAAATTACTTGGGAGTCTGGAGCTATACAACAAAAAGATACAGAACAGTATAGCCAAATCTAAACATTTGTCAGTTATGAATTACAAAAAAGTATGAAGAAACCAAGGCGGCCATCAAAATTATAAATCGGTAGGACAGACAACATCATTACCAAGAAAGAAGAAGAAAAGACACAAAACAGTGCATAAAATACAAACCATATAACTTGACGATTGAGCATTATGAACCCAACTAGCATCCGTGGTTTAAGTCCGATAAGGATAAATGCATCAAAATAATCAATCGCTCTCTTTCAAATATTTACACTGGAAAATCAATTGTTGAATATTTGATTTTCCCTGGTTTGAGAATAATTGGTAGATTGTTCATTGTATCTTAACATTATATTATCAAATTTAACTGTCTGATATCTGAGCTTGGCCTTGGGGTTCAAAAAGTCCGTTTTGATTTCATTATTAGATATAACCACGAAAATTTCATTATTTTGCGGTGTTTTCAATTAAATATATATTTTTACACCGAAACATAATTGAAATGAAATGTTTTTTTTATATTTTGCATTAAAATGGAGATACGCGTAGCTAGGTTAATGGAAAAGTGTTACAGTAAATAATTTGCAAAGATTTAAATGCAATAAAGTTATCTCTTACATACACTTTATTTACATATCAAACTGCATCACTGAAAGGTTTTTATATACTCACGATATCTTTATTTACAAATTTAAATCCTTAACTGAAAGGTTATCATTTACTTTTGAAGATATTTGATAAGTGTCTAAAACAATAAAATGAATCTGCTGTGGTACATTTTAGTTGTTTAACTTCGTCGCCAATGGCGAAAGCAAGTTTAGATAACCGCCCTACTCCGTCTGTCATTCCGCCATTCCTTCCGTCCGAAAGACCTTGGGCAGAAAACTTTTCTTGACTTCTATGAAAGGGAATTATTTTATCTATGGTCTGTAGCTTGATAATATTGAGTTGTACCGTGTAAACAATTATCACATCAGCCATGAAGACACTTTCAGTTTGCCTATAGTTTGAAATTTTACAACGCTCACTGTACAAGGACAATTTTCGTCAAAGTGTTATTGTCTTTAGAAAAATAGAATGACCAGTTAAGATTTAGCATACATATAACTTAAATCGGTTGCATGCAGCAAGGCATGTCCAGACTCGGTATTGGTTTTACTTTTTTATAAACAAAAGGTAGGACTGTTACCTATTGTAACTTCTGAAACATCTCCGTATTATAATATTTATGCTTTTGTTAGTACAGAGTAGAATAAAGATTACTCTCGTTACTAGGTTATCATTTGCCTCTTGTTCTTTGATTACATAATCTGTGAATGGCTTACTTTATCGACAAAATATTTTTTTTTATCTTGAAAGAAAGCGCTTTCTGGATTTAAATTCTTCAAGAACGCTCAACATTATGGACTTACATTGGACTTTAGCGCTCACAAACATGTTTAACCCCTCAATTTGTATATGTGGCATATGTGACTGTCTAAAACCAGGAGTATGAAATTCAGTGTTTATCGTTGGTTGCTGTCTGTTATATTTGTTTTTAATCTATTATTTTGTCATAAATCAGGCCGTTGGTTTTTATGGTTTGAATTCTTTCACACTTTTGCATGTTTATAGCTGACTATATGGTATGAGTTTTGCTCATTGTTGAAGACCATACGCTGATCTTAAAGTGTTAAAATCTTCGTCACTTAAACTATGTTGTCTCATTGGCAATCATACCACATTTCCGTATTTTATATTTGTTTGAAATTTACGGAAAAAACATCTAAGAATAACATACAAAATGCTGTTAATCTTCTGTAAAACTTTAAACTTATTATTATTATTTTTTTAAGATTAATCTTTGTTACACAAAGATAGTGTTCTTCATCTTAGAAATAAACTGCATTATATACTTACTTATGCAAGCGATTCCATCCCAGTATGCCTTATCTAGATTGCATACACAAATACCATTTGAACATTTTAAGTTGTCTTTGCAATCTGTGGATAAAATGCATGCGGCATCTTTACTTTTCTCTACAAAAAATATAAGCATTTGACTTATTGGTATATTTAGGAAATGTTTGTCAAACCAATCCGATGAAAGGTAAAATATGTTTTTTTTATTTTTTAATAACTTGTCAAAGCTAAGAAAGTATCTCATATACTGTAGCATTATAACTAATGTGATCATTTTCGTTTATTTCGCGGGTAAAGTTCAACCCATATTTTAGTTTTCGTCATATGCAAACTATTTCTTGTAGGCTTGAATGCATAATTTGTTACAGAATAAGGTATCCGCGAATAAAATATTATCTTCATCCTCGAAATAAGAACCAACGAAACAAACGACAGTAATTATGACTTGAATACACATGATCCAAAATATATTTGTTTTTCCTTTCATTAGATCTTGGTTGCATCTTATGTTTATTAATAACAAAGAGAAGACACAGAAAATAAATACACTGCCTGCCAAAGGTCGGTGTTTCTCTCGTGGCACTCCGGCTAACTCGACCAATAAATACTGACCGCCACCATGTAACAAATAGTGCTAAAAAAGTCTATAAACACCAACAATCAATCAATCTATTAGCTTGTTCTGTAACAAATTCTCATATAGTGATGAAACCTGTAACCATTTCATAGCACATGCCATCAAAAAAATTAATTGAATTATATCTATCACAAATATTCTACCAAGAATTTATATGTATTCATATTAATTGGAAAAATAAGTATTGAATGACGATTTTTTTAACGTTTTGAGTGATACAAAAGCAAGGGAGTTGGATTTTTTTAATCTTCAAGCGCTTCCGCTACATTCGATAAAAGATCATAGCCCCATGTCCAGAAGCTTGTTTCATACCCAAAAAAAAATTAAAAGACGAACAATAATTTCAGGAGGTCGATAATGATCAGTCAATCAAAAAAAAAAAACAGTTTGTGTATGTTAATGTTTAAGAATGGAGAGTTGCTAATCATAATATCAGCAGTATATGCTTTTGTTTTCCAGATACATATACTGTTTTTACGACCACTGGGTCGATGTCAATGCTGGCGGACGTATCATACCCGATGGTAACAACAGCCTAGTAGTTAGCACTTGTGTTGACATGAATCACCATTGATATTTTAATTTTCTGTTACTTTACTGTTTATCAAATGTTGAATTATTCAAAAGACTAAGGTTTTGTTATCCCCAGCCATATATTGCCTCAGCCATAAGTTTTCCGAATTATTGCTTTTTGATGGTCTTCAACTTCGTATTTATTTTGTCTTTGTTTTTATTCAAGCATAACTGATGAGTCTTATGTAGATGAAACGCGCATCTGGCGTACTAAATTATAAACCTGGTATCTATGATGAGTTTTTACTTAGATGCATGCACTACAGAAGGCACATAGCCTGTTTTCCCGCCTTTTTTTAGTTCACGCGATTCCCTAAGTTTCTGTTTAGTACCTCGATTTGTCTCTTCCTAACCGAGTTTTGAGATTTTTACACCAGGTAAACTACTTTTACCTTAATTAACATATTCTCTGTAACAAATACTACGTTTCAACTATCGTCCTCCAAAATTATGGTTATATTGCTACTCAGAGTATAAAAGTCACCCGTTTGAAAGTAAAGCATTTTTACATTTGTCACTATTTGTCTGCTAAAACGCGTTTGATGTTTTTTGTTCGGTATAAGATATTGCTCTAACATAGTTATGACGACAAACGACTGAAATCGACACTATATATGTTTTACGACCACCATCACGAATTGGTTGACCAATAATATGTGTCGGTGACTCAACACACTAAAGTTAAAGATACCGGTATAGTCATCTGATATGTTATTTAATCGAGTGTGTCCTATAAACGATTGCGACATTTTGACTGAGTGTGAATTCGCATAGCGAGTGATGCAGGCATATCAAGAGACGCTTACCCTGTCGACGTACCCAGTCTCGCTCCTTTTAGAGTTTTGGTTGTTACCTTCCCTTTTCTGATTTACGAGACTTGAACATCAGTAATCTACTATTGCCTCAATTTAAGACCCAGTATGAAGTCAATCATGTTGCCTCAGTGATATTCTGTATTACTACCTCCGATAGTAGTAAATTGACGTTTTAGTTAATCTGTTTATCTATTTTATCAAAATTCAACATGTTGCATTGTATGAACTAAAATAAAGCATTGCAGTTTTGGTAAAGAATGATTCGTTTTTGTAGGTTACAAAGTTACGAAAGTTATTATGATATCTAGAAAGCAGGTTGTAAGTAAAGTGGTAAAATCTGTAAATCAAGAGAATCAGATACGTAAATGCATAAAATCTAAAATCGAAATACTAGTATGAAATGGTATTACTTTGTAGACAAACATTCCCTTTCCAATAGTTTGACTTCTCACATTGGCATTTCTCGTCAAAACATGTTAACGTGTCTTTACATTGAACTGTAGCATTACATGGAGATTTGTAATCTTTTCCTTAAAGAAAGAAAATAAAATTATATATTCTGTATAATATGTTAGGATCAAGTATAGAATACGTAATTGTAGTTCCATCGGATTTTATTTTTTCATAGTAGGTAAATTAGTTCTTCTATATATAAAGGAGTTTTTTTCAGTTATTTGATTTTCATTTTTATAAAACAATTGAAGTTCCTTTCAATTTTATGTGAATTATATGCATTTAAAATATTGTAAAGATTAAATGGTCGACAGGTCAGCAGGTCGACAGGTCAACAGGTTAAATGGTCGACAGGTCAGCAGTTGGACAGGTCAGAAGGTCGACGAGTCGACATGTAGACCTGCTGACTCAATAATCCAATTTTTGGAGACCAATTATTTATATGCAGACTTGTCGACCTGCTGACTTGTTGACCTGCAGACCTTTCTACCCGCTGACTTGTCGACCTGCTGACCTGTCGACCTGCTGACTTGTCGACCTGTTGACTCGTCGACCTTCTGACCTGTCAACCTGCTGACCTGTCGACCATTTAACCTGCTGACCGGTCGACCTGCTGACCTGTCGACCATTTAATCTTTACAATATTTTAAATGCATATAATTCACATAAAATTGAAAGGAACTTCAATTGTTTTATAAAAATGAAAATCCAATAACTGAAAAAAAACTCCTTTATATATATAAGAACCAATTTACCTACTATGAAAAAATAATAATCCGATGGAACTACAATTACGTATTCTATACTTGATCCTAACATATTATACAGAATAAGAGTAAGGGTTACTTGTTGACCTGTAAGTATATTGTTTAAACCTCCCCTAGGACTCGGCGTATGAACATTATAAATACTAGCGAAAGAATTTAGCTGGAACTACTTAAACGTGTACTTGACTAGGGCCATATTTTATTCCGTCTCTGAAAAACATAGCCCAAGGCATAGAAATATGGTAAACTTGTTCTTCTTCCGACCGACCGAAAAGTACTCGATAAAATGGGGCATGCATTTGGCTGTGCGGGGTGTATAAATTTTCAACTTCGTCAGCTCAGAATGTCGACGTTAAATCAGATGCCTCATGTATAGAAGAGTGTAAGATACGTGATTAAAATTGGTTCGAAATCAGCAACATTATATTAAAAAAAAGAAGAAAACAACACGTTATAAATTTCATACGTCCGAAGCGCTTTTCTAGATTAGCCTTCATCAGGAACGCTCAAAGCTGAAAGAACCGAAACAGTTAAAGAGCTATATAACCAAAAAGGACCTAAAAAAATAGCGTTTTATATTTTTTGTTTCAAGTACAATTAAACAACTTCATATTAAAAGCACTACATTCCATTGGGGAATGTTTTATTTTATAGTGGGACACCGGTAATTTGTACAGTCTTCCAAAAACTCCTTCATTTTTTCATACTTGTGATAAAAAACCTTCTTAATAATTCAGTAAAGTAATTTACTTATATATTTAAAAGATACCAAGAGGGCAGTTACTGCAAGAGCAACAGACAAGATGACGCCAATAAACAACACTGTTAAACAAACCACAGTCAACAAACCAACACACGAAACTGAAGTCGGAAAGATGAGCAGTTCCTGACAACCATCGTGTTGCGCGGGTCATGTGGAATGTCCTACGGTCTCACTTGTTTTTTGTACTGATATGGAGCAGAATTCATCAATAACATTCATTCTCGAGACAAATAGAAAATGCTTTTATATCTATCACGTTTTGAAATATAATATATTAAATTACATTATTTGTACATTTAGATAGAATGCATATAAAAATAGTTCTTTAATTATAAAAAAAAAATCCAAAGATTTTTCTGAAAAAGATTTTTATTTACGTGTTATTGATATAAAATAATCATAGGGTAACCGACTTTGTTTATGATATATTAACTAATCGTTACTGAACGAGGATAGTTGGTACGCACTGAATATTCAACCATTTAAAATATCAAGTATTGTCGACAAAAGTCATTATGACTGGATCTCCCATGTATTGTAGATTAATTTAAAAGTTTATCTAATAAGTTATATGATTTGAGTGTTTCTTGTAGAACAACAAGTCTCATATAAGTGGATTTCGTTCTTTAGTTCATAATATACATGTTGTCTGAACATCAACTATTCAAATAGCATAAAAAACACAAATTGAATTTTAAACTGATAACATACGTCGAAAACATTTATCTCCGTTCAGATATTCTAACATCTGACAACTGCAAGACTCATTTAGGCAACGAAAGTCGTCTTGGCACTCATTCTGGGAACTGCATGGCATTCCTGCTGTTTTCCCTGATAACACAAATATAAAATTACTTTTGCATTTCTTCAGATATGAATACTTTTAAAGATTTACTTTCGGCAACTTTTCCTAGAAATAAAAAAAATTAAAGAGATATTAAAAAATTCTGCTTTACTTAGTGCATGTTATTGGCTGATCTATAGACCCCATTCCGCTGATTTTTATTGCTTTTAATACTCTTTTGACTACATACAGAATTTGGTTAAGATATTCAGTAGTCTTTGTGTCTTTTCTAAGTTCATGTATTAGAAGAGAGGCGAAAGATACCAAAGGGACATTCAAACATTCAAAAGTCGAAAATAAACTCACAACGCCATGGCTAAAAAAGAAAAAGACAAACAGACAAACAAATGTACACAAAACACAACATAGAAAACTAAAGACTGAGCAACACGAACCCGACCAAAAATTTGGGGTTATCTCAGGTGCTCCGGAAGGGTAAGCAGATCCTGCTCCGCATGTGGTACCCGTTAATTCAACTTAAAATGACCCTTGTCCTTCCTTTATGGCTGTAGTGTGACATTTTGTTATGGTTGATTTGTCTCCTTTGTTTTTACTGTCTCGTGTAACACTTACTTAGCAGCATCCTAAAATATTCGGCAGAGTTTGTTCATGATTATACTATTTCAATGAATGAATCGAATTCTTGAACAAGTTGATATTAATAATATATACATACTATTTACACAGTAGACGCCGTCCCAGTAGTCTGTGTCATGACACTGACAGGTATTTTCTCTGCAATCTAGTGTTTCCTTACACTGAAGACGGTTTTTACATGGAAAGTTTATTTCTCTCCCTATAAATGTATCATTTTCTGTTTATTGAAAGGTATGTTATAATAACAGTGTCTAACATTCACAACGCAGAGTTCTCTCTGACAATCAAAAATGCAACAAACAAAAAAAGAAGAAAAAAAATTACAATGTTCCAATAATTGATCATTTGCCAATTACCAATTTGATTCTGTGATTACTCACTTTTTAAACTTATTGCTTCCCGTTGTCAATCGTAGACTAGTTCTATACCGGAGAAAATTTTATTCTGCCCGCGCAAAGCATGATAGGTTTGAAAGTGATTCAATCAATTCTAGTGAAAAATAACTACTGGTATACAAAGTGTTTAGCTTAACAATAAATCAAATGTAATTAAATGATTTAAAACCTTAAAGGTTACAACCATTACGCACAGATAAATTTGATCTTTCCGCTAGCTCTCCATTGTCATATTCATGTCCCTTTTAAGGGAGAAAACTAAAAACCGATATATAATTACAGGGTTAATTACGGAAATTAGCAAATAAACTATTGAAGATATACAGTGACATATTTATAGAATAATGTTGTGGTTAGCATTGAAAAATTAACCTTTCAGTAAGAAATCTTTGATAAACAAAATTCTTTCATTTAGAATAAACTATTTCGGAAATAGCGTTCAGTACTTAGTAGTCAGAACAGCTACATTGAAAACTCGATAGTATGTGTACGTGAGTAGGAGGAGCTTAACGCAATAGTCGTTACAGATGAAGATAATTGTTAATAGAAATTTATCACGATTAGGCGGAGTTTGAGACAATTGTCGGCATCATAAAAGCGTTTTATGAAAGAAGTATGTCCAGTACACTCAAAAATTATCATTTTACCATTGTCGCCTGCTTGGGAAAAGATGTCGTTTGAAACCTTTATAGGTATTACGAATTTCAAAAGGTCATCCAATTTATTGATATTTTAAGATTTGTTTTTTTTTGTTTTGTTTAAAACTAACAGTCAAGAAAAATTATAATAATATTGATATTGTGTTTAACATTGACTACGTGTAATAGTAGCTCGGTTGACGATAATCGTTTAATTGTCATTTCAGATGGATGGCATTAGAGATTTGATGATGAAGACAATACTTGTTAATCTCGGTCTACTCATATGAACATACGATTGACTAATAGACATTTGCGGAAACTGTCATACACCTACGATTAGGATTACAATTACACTTACAGGTAGCATTTAAATCTTGGGTCGTTTCAAAGTGTAAATATAAACCGTCGGTCCAAACAAAGACTAACTCCTATGATGTTTTTCTAACGAGATCAATTAGAAAAATAAAACGACAATTATCTTTCAATGCAATGAAAATATAAAGCAGATATATATTCGTCTTTACACATACTGGCCCGTTTTAATAAGTGATCCTAGAAATCTTTCAAGATGGTTGAAATGCCTTTTACCGTCAGGCACAAAATGTTAATTTTCGACTATCATTAACGACAACTTGATTCAATTTATATTGTGGTTTGTCAAATTATCCTTATTTGTCAGAGGTCTCAATTACTTAAACTTTACCGTTATAATTGGAAAACATATACCACGATTCGTCAAAATCAGTTGATTCTTTTCTATCGTCATAATGAACTCTATGTTTCTTTGTGGAGTTTTTGTGGACTTTGTATTTTCTTCGTTTTTCTTTTGACCATGGTGGAGTCTTTTTTCTTTGACTTATGGGTTCTAAATGCCCCTTTGCATCGTTTCCTTGTTTAAAAAAAAATAAGATTAACTTAAGTTGCATTAAACATAATTTTTGTACATGCATTACATTTTTCAATTAAATCAAGAATTTCCAAGCATAGACCCCCCCCCCCCCCCCCCCCTATTCTTAAAGCACTCAGGTTGTCTTTTAAAGTACACGGATGTCTGTTAACCGAATTTTAGATTGAATGTAAGTCAAACAAGATTTTTAAACGATGACTTTTTTTTTTAATTTCTTTAGAAATAAAGTAGTTAATATATGTTATCAAATAAAACTATATTACATCATTCTTGACTTAAATGCTCTTTGCTTGTAAAGATATTTGAATGCACACGAATATTAAATGGATCCGATTCTTAATCAAACACATGACACATCATTTAAAATGAGATATTTTTTATATTTCATTAAGAATAGATTATAAGCTGATATTTTGAAAAAATCGCCAACGTGATATTTAATTACAACATGTATCATTAACGTCAAGATCTAAACGTTATTGTTAAAAGAAATCACGCACTATTTAAGTCGGTTAGGGAGCATTTGCGGACACAAAAGTGATTCGTATAAAAGATGTACGACTCCCAATTACTATATACCGCCCGCTTTTGTAAAGCGAGTAGAACTATTAATACAGAAAAATAAATAAATTATAAGTGTATTTCGTGCATTTATTTTATTTTTCCCCGTTATGGATGAAGAACACAGGTTAACCATGTCAGCATTACCTGCCCTGATGCAGACTCCACCAGATGTAAGGTACACATGTCATTCGTCATCTGATTATAACCCTGGTAGTCCTAGCTTGACCACCGACAAACCAATCTTTTACAATCAGGGAAATATTATAGGCAATGATGTATACTTATGGAATTGGAGAAATGTGTTCACTTGTTTTGCAATCAAACGATATTCCTTTTACCGGTCAAACTCCTGAAACGTTACTTTAAATTGTAGCCGATGTTAATGGTCTCTTCATACAGATAACCGGTTGGGATCATAAGCTTTCCCCGGGAAACACAATTCTTCTTTTATGTTATGATTACGATCGTACCTGTCTTTTCATATGATTTCTGAAATAGTTTGACGTTTTGACTACCAAAGATGAAACACATACATGTATACATTTTTCAAGAAACATATAACCGCCTTCTTTGGGTGATTGTCAGAACTTACAAGGTGGGTGGCCAAAACTTCCGTTTGCAGTAGAGCTAATAAAAGCCTATAGACGGAAAGTTTGTGGCCGATAACGGAACCACAGGAGCAGTATTCTCCAGGACACAGACATTGTCACTGCATTCACGCTCAAGTTGTAATATTGAACGAAGACAGGATATGTTATTTTGAGTGCGGATTTCTGTGGCATCAGCAATATATGTTGATGCGAAATATAGGACAAGAATTACCTTTTCCGACTGAACTGTTTTTTGCTAGGCGACAAAACATATCCGAACTGATATCCAGTATTGACTCCTTACATAAGACAAACCCCAGAATATGCAGAGGAAGTGTAGAAAATTAAATAGACATATTACACACTAAAGAGTAGAGGTTGAACACGCCATCGGAGATCGAATTAAAAAAAACACAAAGTTATGGGGCCTTTGTGGCAATTCACATCTGTTGTGAATATAAGTTTCTGTATTTGTGTGTCGTCGAAAAGACTTATTTACATGAGAAAAATATCATTTCATTTGACTATGTATCTCAATTGGGTTTATTATTTTTATTTTGAGAGGACCCCTTGTTTTTTCATCAACTGTAATCGTAAGTCTAAGTGTAATCCTAGGTATAGACCTAGTTTCCGCAAAGGTCCAATAACAACAGCTGTATTGATTATTTTCTTTAAGCCCCACATGATCACGTGAACAAAAGTTTAACGTTTAGGCAATGAAAGTATTAACAACAATACCAAACTCCAAGGTAAACTTAAAAAGGTTTTAAGTCTATAAAACGTGTCAACACTAAATGCTACACTAGACTGTATCAACCAACTGAACGATTTTGTGAAAAAGAAAATGGTGTGTTAACCTGGTTTAATAGCTTTCTCATCCTCCTATTTCTATGATAGTTGTTTATTGGTTCTCAATAAAGAATATAATGATTATAGATAACGATAATATATGAATAGGAAATTTGACCCAAAATTTTAATACAAAATAAATGATTACATTTGAACAAAATCAAGTTACAAGTTTTTCTGCATAGCATTATTTGAAGTATCTTGAAATTAAACTCATCATAGAAACCAGGATTATAATTTTGTAGAACAAACGCGCATTTCGTCTGCAAAGGACTCAAAAGCCAAATAAAGTACAAAGTTGAAGAGCATGGAGAACCCAAAATTCCGGAAGGTTTTGCCTTATACAGCTAATGTAATCAATTTTAGGGTAGAAAATCCTAGAAATTCACTGTCAAAATCCCAGGAAATAAATATGGATAGAAAATTACGGAAATGCTAAAATTGATTAACACCAAGAGCTTACTCAGTCTACATGTCGTGCCATTCCAATAATCCGAAGACATACACTGGCATGTGTGACGATGGCATACTAGTGTAGACAGACATTCTTCTGTATTATTACACATTTTGCTTGACTGTTTTCCTAAGAATAAAACAAGATACATTACATTACATTTCTAAATGTTAATGCTGTCCTGTACATATAAACAGATTCTACCAATACATCGAGTGTGATACATTATTCATCCTCCCTCATCCTTGGCGTTTATATATTCGGTCTTCAGCGTTCCTGGTGAAGGTAAATCCAGAAAGCAGTTTGGACGCATGAAATTAATAAAGTGTTCTTTTCATTCTATCGAGACAGTTACACATTTTAAATTTATAATGAAAGGGTACTGATAAAGTAGTCAATATGCATTGGCAGTAAAAATTTGGTTTTCATACAATCGTCCAAATCGAATTCATATGTTTCTATTTTACTCAAAATATCATTTGAAGAGTTTTAAGAGTTGCAGGATAAAAAGAACAACGATACAATGTCTCAAAGCATAATTCATAGTGTTACAATTTAGGAAATAGGCTGTAGGTTGCACTTTGTAAATACAGCTGTTTCACATGCCACGCCTCTTTTGGGGAGATATATAATATTCATAGATATGTTAATTTGTTAACGTACTGGTTCCCAGATATGATCTCTATGTTTCATCTTATAGAGACATAACTTGGGAATGTTATCAGTATAGAAAAACATGGTAGCGCCTAAAATTTAATTCTTAGGAGGTCCAATAATGGAGGTAGGGGTAGTATAGAATTTTAATATAAGTTTACACTCTAAGAAGTTCAGGGCATAAAAATGTTTAAAATATGCCGCACAGCCCTATATTTTGACCTTTGAATAAAATAGTAGTGCATATAAACTTTTCGTTCTGGGATATAATTTTTCACGAAACTTCACAGTAAAAGTGGCACAGTTTTAGCTGCAAAGGGAGTTCCTATGGGAAATTGCATTGTCTATATTTACAGAATTGCAACCTGTAGGTTTGGAAATACGACTTTTTTCAACATGGTCGTTTACTGTATGCCGAATGTGTATGCATAAAAACCTATAGGTATAAAACCAGGTTTAATCCACCATTTTCTACATAAGGAAATATCTGTACCAAGTCAGGAATACGACAGATGTTTTCTTTTCGTAAATATTCGTACTCGTCGGCATTTGCATCAGCAAGTATATTGTCGTCAGTTTCCTTAGGACATGAGATCAGCATCAAATAAGCATTACATAATTTGCCCACATTCACCATAGGGACACGAGACATTGGTGGGACAGTTGTGTGAAAATGATGCCACGGAAATGACCACAGCAAACCAAATACGCCGCAATCGATGCAACCCTTAAAATATATGTACCTTTGCTATGTTATGCGTTCCCGTTGAATTAATATACCAAACCATGATTGATCTAGATATTTTACTACGCTTAGGGACTTTCCGATTGAATTTTCCTCGGAGTTCAGTATTTTTGTGATTTTACTTTTTACTACATGTATGATGTCGACAAATAATTAACGTACTAAAAAGGGTCGCTGTATATTTTCAAATATAACAAACTAAGTGCTCTGGTGGGTTTTCTTTGATTGATACTTTGTAGAATATTGAATGATTTATATATAATAAATTGTAAATCACTTAGTAAGTCTATGTTAATCAGTTAAAAAGCTACAATATTATGACCAGTGCCTTAGCTGTTTTGTCTGCTATGCTATCATCACCTTGACCGTTTAGCCAGCTACACTACCTACTAACTTTGTTTGTAACTCGACACCAGGGTTGACGGATATTATAATTTACTAATAACATAAAACATACTAGTAGTCATCATGGTGTAAAGCGAAAGATATGCATTTTAATTTTCGGGACAAACCTACCCGTCCCGTAACAATCTTTATACTCGGCTGGAAACAATATGAAATGTTCGACAGAGCTTCTCATTCCATGTGACTTGTTTTCTAGGCCTTCGATAAATAAATTCTAAATATTAAGTCAACCTTAAGTTATTCTATATTTTACGGTCAAGTGGAAAAAATTATGAAAAATATTTTTTAGAATTGGATAAAATTTTCAGAATCCACATCTGATCAAACGACTGCAAAATCAAACTTGAAAAGTGATCTTTGACCCCTTTAATTCCTGATGAAATTTTATTATCTCTGCATAACCTTCATACCACAATTAACGAAAAAGGTAATAACTTTTCTGTTCGTTTATGGTCATGTTTCGTTGACTGCTTTTTATAAGGTCATACATTTATCAGTACATTTGATGCTTATGTTCAGTAATATCGCTGATTTCAACGAACGTCAATATTTTCCTTACTGACAAACTTTACAAGAGGGATAAAGGTACAAGAAATAAAACTAGTCAACCTTGCACTAAATATGCAAACTAGAATCTATGACAATCGTGATGATTTCAATTTTGCAATTGTCAACGTCCCATTTCTCAGCCTCTCTCCCTCTGTCTCATCACATGGCGTTTACACATCTTAATATATACGTTACGCTTGTGCGTGTTCACATTATACGGACTGCAATAATAGAGGTTGGCCCCTTACACTTAATATGCTTCATCAGAGTTATGAGGTTAAATGAGGTGTGGTTTCTTGTGACCGGTGATGCATGCTCAGAAGGGGGCGCTTATCCTGTCGACGCACTAAGTCTAGATCCATTTAGAGTACATGCGATTCACTGTTTCTGTTTGTTACCTTGATTTGTCTTTTCCAAATCGACTTACAAAATCTGAACATCGGTAAACTACTGTCGCCTTAATCGATACTGCATATTGCGCAAGTATATTGATTACTACGCATTGGCATGATGCATATCTGATACATGTTGCATACTGATCTGCTGGTGACATTATGAATAACACTTGCCTTATACATGTTGCACCATGATTGTTTGGTGACATTGTGCATCATAAACATCTTTGACAGTATTTTGTTTTATAACACTTGCATGCATCTGTGCAAAAGCAACAACATTGCAATAGAAAAATAACAAAGTATATTCACATATATAAAGAGAATTTGGTGTTTAACACAGATATTTGATGGTCTCTGTTGAATTCATTGACGAATTTCATATTTAAAAGTCTGCCACCATGACGTGTTGTCTAATTCTATGGCAATAAATCACAAAACATGTTTAACCCCGCCGCATTTTTGCGCCTGTATATGAGTGGCCGTTCGTGTCATTGGCGGTATGAACATACCGTATGAAATTTTCAACGCGTTGGTTTTTACTTTCAACACGTTGGTTTTTATTATCAACGCGTTGGTTTTTACTTTCAACGCGTTGGTTTTTATTATCAACGCGTTGGTTTTTACTTTCAACGCGTTGGTTTTTATTATCAACGCGTTGGTTTTTACTTTCAACGCGTTGGTTTTTACTTTCAACGCGTTGGTTTTTACTTTCAACGCGTTGGTTTTCACTATCAACGCGTTGGTCTTCCTTTTCAACGCGTTGGTTCGTAATTCATACGGTATGAAAAACCAACGCGTTGGTTTTCAATTCCATACCGTAAGTTTTCCACTTATGTCTACCAATCAACATCTTTGTAACAAAGTACAATCTTATCAACCGTTCGGACGGTCTCCAGATTGTTGTTAAGTTTGGCGGGAAAAAATATTCTCCGTTGTTGAAGATACTTACTGACTAGCTACATGGCTACACGTAGAGGAGACCGGGAGCGATTTTTAGATCGATTCAAGGAAATGGTGAATTATTGCAGCCGGATTAGCACTTCGGATACAATGGACGATGATACATCAGAAAATGTTCGAGGAAGGTACACATGTTTGATATATGTTTATGGTTAATAAAAACTACATGATATTAAGTCAAAATATATTTCTTGATAGTCTGTGTTCTCGTCAGAGCATACATTCAAGCAGTACCCACTACAAAGAAAATTAATTAGGTGGAAAACTTCTTCAAAACTTTTTCCGTACAAGCAATTACAAATGTTTTGTAGAAACATTTATTCGACATTTTTCCCATAACCTACAGTTCATATTATTATATATTGTGATAAGGTTACGAAACGTCTCAGTTACGAAACGACCTAGTTTGTTCCGAATTCTCTTTGTGCGAAACGACCAGGTTACGAAACGAACTGCACCCATGAAAGTTACAACAATTGCGTTTCAAAGGAATAACGTTCAGATAGGTTGCTATCAGATGTTCGTTAAAAAATTATATGCAATTTATATATAGTAAAGTATTTACACTAAATTTACAGTAGTATGAGATATTGGTACCTGATTATTGGAACCCGGGAATGAGGGATGAAAATCAAGGGCTAGAGCAGCGGGAATCAGTGGCAGGAGCTGGGAGAAAGATGACTAAAAATATGATTAATTTATACTTGACAAATAAAATGAAATAACAGGGGAACGGAATTCTGGAGACTGAATGTTTGGGAAGGGAAGTTGGAATTCAGAGGATTGGAATCAATGACTCCCCTTGTCTACCACTCTTGCCAAAAATGTCGGGAAGCTGCAGACATGAAGTATTTTTATAAGAAATGTTAATAACATACACCATTTCTAGTCAGCTACAAGCTCAATGGTTATATTTAGAACACAAGAGGCTTCATGAAATTTCTTGAACTCTCTTGACTTGAAATAATAATGAAATCACTAAAGTCAATATGCAACAAAATACCTACGACGGTGTAGTTCGAATTTCAACTTGTTATACAAAAATATTTTGCAGATTACAGTTGTTGCGTCGAGATATTGAAAGAGCCTGAGACTGATAACCAATGAAGAATGTGCCGAATTCATTCCATTACTGGATGACATGGAAAAAGAAGTTTCAGCTAGGTTTGCAGCTTGTAGATCTGGTATATATCAGTTGAGTTGGATAGATATATGGGTTGAACCCACTTTCAATTTATGAATATACGCTACAAAACAAAAAAGAATTTTAATATATAAGCTCATAAAATCTAGCACTGGTGGAAGTGCATACAAGGGAAATTAAGAAACATTCATGCTAGTGTGTTTTCAGTCTTACACAAGACTTTGTGAAATTAATGACCTTCAGTGGTGATTTTACATGTATTTTCTAGCCATGA